GGATTCAAACCTGCCAGCTCTGGTGTATGTGACTGGCACCTTAGCCGCTTTAGCTACAGGTGCCGAGCCTGCCCCCTGTATTTGAGTCTTGGCTCTGTCACCCAAAGGCTGTCACTCACCCTCTCTGTGCCTGGCTTTTGTGTGTGGTTGGGGCAAGGATGGAATGAGTCAGTACCTAGTGTGTAGTCTGTCCTTTGTTCTATATGCTCCCTGCAGACCAGAGTCTGTGACTGGTCTCTGAGTGGCCCAGGGATCCATTTTCAGGGACACCCCCGATTTTGCCCTCAGGGTACCACCAGGTGCACCCAGGCACAGTAGATCATGGAGGAGGACCCTCTGACCTACCCACTGGCCAAAAGATGGGGCTGGAGCTCTTTGATGGAGGGCTTTGCCAAGCAGCCTAGTCCTGGTCCACTCTGGGTGTGCTCTGTACTAAGCTGCTAGATTCCAGACAAGTCCCTGTCCCTGGGAACGTGGTGCCCCCTGCTGGCGTCTTGAGGGAAGTGACACCCACCCCAAAGAGCCTCAGGTCCTTCTTTCCCCAGTGTCTGGCGCCCTGAGGGTAGAGGATCACAAGGGGGTGGCTATGTGGCCCCTCCCCAGACCTGGCCCAGCTAGGGACTCAAGCCATGTGTCTCCCCGCCCCCAGCCTTTCAGCCTGTGGGACCTTGGCTGGGGTATATAGACGAGAATTTCTGCTTTTAATCCAAAGAGAGAAAAAAACTCAGCAAGAAGCTGGGCCACCCCCACCCCACTCTCCAAACCCTCTGGTTACAAAAGCCTCAGCCTGGCGTCTTCCCCACTCCCCAGGACCCACACAAAAACCTAAACAATTAGAAACACGGCCAGCTCCCAGGTCTGTGCCAGCACTAGCCATGGGGGTCCCACCCGCTGGGCACAGTGCCCAAAAGAAGGCCAGCTGGACTCTAGCACTGGGAGTCAGGGTCTCTGCAGGGGCAGGGTTCCCATAGCAGGGCAGGAGAGAATGGGGATGCCCTTCTTCCTCCATGAGGGTCCAGCAGCCCAGCAGCTTGGCTCTTCTAGAGCTAGACCCTTGAGAGGCTGGTGGTCATAGGGCCAAGTGGAATGAGATGGGACCTGCCCCAGCTGTTCTCAATATCACTTCTTTTTTGTCCTCTTTCAGTCCTGGTTCCTCTGATAAGATCAACAAAAGAACAAAATGAAAAGAAGAGGTTCCTCAAAAGGGGGGAGAAGAAATTTTGAGACATGGAAAAATCCCCCAGCCCAGCCCAGCCCCACCGAAAAGCAAAAATTAGACGTCGTCAGCCACTCAGCCCTTCTCTCCTCCAGCCCGGGGACCCCCGCGGGCCCCAGAAGCAGCCCAGTTCTCGTAGAGCCCTCTAAAGGGGTCTCGGTGGAGCTGTGCACCAGCAGCCAAGCAGAAAGAAACATGCGACATGGACTCTGTCAAGTAGAGGACAGAAAGGATGCAACAGAACTGCCTTCCTCCACTGCCCACCCGTCCTGGCCTTCTGGGGAAGGAACAAAGTCCCCAAACAAAGCAACCAGCACAGTTGTGAAGGGGCCTAGCCCCCACTCACACTTTTCCTAGGGGAACCCCACCCTAAGGAGTGTGGAGTACCAGCTTGTAAAGATGATGGAGTGTAGGTCCCGCGGGTTCTTCCCCCCAGACTCCGCCCCTCTCTCCCTTGATTTTTGCCGGGGCTCCGGCTTCTTCCTCCAGCTGCTCCGGACCAGGCTGGGAGGGCAGCCTCCACTTCCCCTGCCCCACCCTCAGGCTAAAAGCCCCCAGGCGGGCAGGGAGCGACCCCTGGAGCTAGCTTCAGGAGCCCAGAATGGTGTTCTGCTACCCACCCTGAGCCGCAGGGACAGTTCCCCGGGCCGGACCCCTCTGTACAGTCCGTAGGAAAAAAGTCGGAATGCTCTCGACGGCCTTGGCTCCCTGGTCTCTCTCCCTCCAGCCAAGCCTTGAGGGAACGGAGTTGGGCCCCAGGTCGCCCCCGCCCCCAGCCCTGCATGCAGGTGTCCTAGCTCCGCCCCATCGGCCCCTGCCCTGCCCCTCACGCAGACAGCCCTGCTGGGGCCAGGCCGGAGAGTGGAGCAGAAAGGGGACCCCGGAGCAGAGCGAGGAAGAACAGGCAGCCGCCACTGCCGTCGCTAAGCCACCACCTGCGCCTAGGTAGGCGTCCTGCTTGCCGACTTTCAGTTCCATTGGAGGGTGTTGGGTGTTGTCCTTTTCAAAAGTGTTTTGGAGCTTTCTGTCCCCCACCACCACCACCTCCCCCCTTTCCCCCACGGCCACTTCTCTCTGGGTTTTAGCTGTAATGTCTTTACTCTTTATTTAGGGGTGGGGCATTCATTGTTTGGGTCTTTTGCTGTTGGAATTGGGAACTCCTCCATTTGAGCAACTTGGGAACAATTTAGTAACACACCACAGGAAGTAGCTCTTCCCCCCTCCAGTCCCCTCCTCCCCCAAGGGATGGTTGGGGGGCCTGTCCAGAGGGTCTTTAGAAGCCCCCCCCCGGGAGGGAGGGGAGCATGAGCACGCCCAGCCCCCTCCAGGGTGTGACTTGGCCCCCCTGGCTTGTCTTTCTGTGCCTTACTCCCTCCTCCCCGCGTCTCCTCTAGCCCCCTTCTCGAGTCCTTGTGCCTCTCTCTTCTCTTTCTTAACTGTATGAAAACACAAAGCACAGGTCAGGATCCTCTGAAAGTCAGTCAATCCACATTGCACCACGTGTGGGTGGGTTATGGGGTTTATTTATTGTGAATCTTGTGAGGCTGTGGCCCTGAGCAGGCGGAGAGAGGCGGGAGGAAAGGGGGCTGTTTGGAGAAGGGAGGAGGGCCACGACCTGGGGCAAAGGGGCTTGCACGGGTAGTTGCCTCCTGCCCAGCTGGAAGCCAAGAGGTGGCTGCTTCTAGGGACGGCTTTTGTTGGAAGTTGAGCGAGGCCTCACCCTTCTCAGCGTGGGAGGATCCTAGGGCTGAACGGCAGTGGATCCCGCTGGGGCCTCCCAGGGTGCAGGGGGTAAGGTCCCGGGGGTGGGGGGCCGGGGGGGCCGGGCTTGACGCGCGGTCAAAGTGCAATGATTTTTCAGTTCGGTTGGCTAAACAGGGTCAGAGCTGAGAGCGAAGCGGAAGGGGCTCACTGCCCGGCCGCACGCGCCCTTCCTTCGAAGACAGGGCTTCGGGCGCTGTGGGCCCGCGGGAGCCGGAGTATGCGGGGCGCCCGCCCGGGCAAGGTCGGAAGCTGCAGGCCAGCTGGGCCCCGGCAGAGCGTGCTCGGCGGGGTTGCTAGGGCGGGTGGGTGGGGTGGGGTGGGGCTGCTCCTTTCCCAAGTGGTGTTGTGAGGGGCAATGAGGGCGACAGGAGATGTGGGGACGTGTTAGGAGAGAAAAAAAAACCCACAAAAATATATATGGGGGAAATGAACTTTTTTTTTCATTGAACCAAGTGCAATGCATCAGAGTTTTCCTATCTTTGTATGTTAAGAGATTGTTAAGAAAAAAAATTCTATTTTTGTTGTAATGTCCTCGCGGCTCTGGGGACGCTAAAAGAACCGGGCCTGCCCCGCCCTGAGCGGGGATAACGAAAGCTGAGTGTTTTTCCTTTTTTTTTTTTTTGTTCGTTTTCAGGTTTTTTTTTTTTTTTTGAGTCGTTTTCCTGCGTTGACGAGGATGATCTGGGGTTTTTATTTGTTTCGTCGTTCGTTCTCGGTTTCGGTGGGAGGGCTGAAGGAAACGTTCACATTTAGAGTTTAAAAAAAACACCTCGACATTTAAAAATTCAACCAACACAAGATCAAAAAGGAAAAGGACGAGAGAAAATTATTTTTAAGATAATTAAACATAAAACCCTGGTGCTTCTTACATTATAAAGTACGTTTTAAAGAACCCACAAACTATTATACATAAGTTTATGAATCAATTAAATATCCTGCACTTGTTAGGAACACGCATATCCCTTTGTTGAGTTTAACGGAACGGGACAGCGGCGTGCGCCCAGCGGCTGGGCTGCTCCGGCCGCGGGTCTCCCCGGGCGCCCCCTCCCTGGGGCCCAGCGCCCCTTCCTCGCCACATCCCCGTCTGGGCACGGGGGCGCGGCAGGGGTCCCCGGCCCCTCCCCCGCAGAGGTCAATGTCAACCAACAAACGTCCTTTCCCTCCCTCCCTCTCTGCCCCTGAGTGCCCTTCTTTGAGCCAGACACCAACTTGACCCTCACCAGCATTATCAGGAGCACGCTCAGCAAGTTGGTAGTTTACCCCCCACCCCGTTCCCAGCGCCCCCCATTCGACATCTCTCCTCCCATCCCCGGCACCCTCCGGGGAACACCGGGAAGGCTCGACGCTCCAGGACAGGACCAGCCACGCTGACAGGTCGCTTTGCCCAGGCCGGTGCCCGCACGCACGCACGCACACGGCCCCGCACACAGCCCCGCCCCGCCCCACCCAGCAACCAGCCCTGTCGACTGCCTTACACACCCGCCCCCGCGCTGGCCGGCCGACCTAGTGCCTTGTTCTCACCCCCGTGCTGGCGGAGCGGACGCCGCGCTCTGGGTCCCAGAGGGGCTGGGTGGCTCAGACGACCCATCACTTCCCCACCCCGACCGTGCTGGACAGACACCCCCCCTCACACACACACACACACACACGCACACGAGAGAAAATAAAGGAGCAATAAAGTCACGAGAACTTCGTCCCCCAATCGAGAGCCCGAGGGGCACCCCAGCCCCACCTCTGCTCCCCCACCCCACCCACCCTTGGGGCGCCCCCCTCCCGCCGCAAGCCAGCCTGGGCCAGCCCCGCTTCGGCCCCTCCCGGGAGATCCGTGCGCCCGACCAGCACCAGCATTGCGGACCGCAAAGGCCGCCCGTCCCGTCAAACAAGTTTCTTCTTAGGCTAAGAAACGCAGTATATACGAGTATCTCTATATATAGTACTAATGGATTTGGTGTGCTTCCCCCTTAGCGTCCCCTCCCTCTGCTCCTCCTTCAGCCTGGTCTCCCCCTCTCTCTGCCCTCCACCCCGTCTCTGCACTGAGATACATAAGAAACAAGGGTAGTTTACTGTCTGTTTTGTTTTCTGGGTTTTCAGTGTCCTAGCGGAATGCAAGTAGGCAGCCAGCCCGTCTGTTCCCTCTCCGTCCCGCCCCGCCCTGCCCCGCCCCGCCCCCGTCACTGCGCTTCTGTTATACCATCTTTGCCTGACTCTCTCCGGCTTCTCCATTGAATGGCTAATGTGTATGTGAAATAAAGAAATAAAGAAAAACAAAAGCAAGTGCGCCTGAGCCTTTGCTGACGCGGCCATGCGGGACCGATGGGTTGCGTACACTGCGTGGACTCCGCGCTTCTCTGTATGCGCCAGGCGCCCGGCAGGAGCCATTGGTGAGCGTCTGTCCCTAGTATTCCGGGAGGGGGCGCCAGTGAGAAGGGCAAAGTCTCCTCAGCTCCTCCCTAACACCCCTACTCTCCGCTCCCACAGCGACCCCAGCCCTGAAAAAAAGAGACACCAGTTAGTCCGATCACCGCTCTATGTTGGCTCGCTGACCTCGTCTATGGGAAAGGGACACGAGCAAAGCCACTTGCAACAGGCGGTGCGTGATTCTTAAAAAAGGGTCTTTGGGGCTCTGGGGGGGGGCGACGGTCACCCTTCCAGGCTCTCGAAAACTTGCCCCGTTGGGGACGTCCTCATTGGGCGAGTTTGCTCGGGATTAGGCTCAGCACAAGGTCGGCCCTTTCCTCGACGGCCGTGGGCTGAGTCTCCGGTGCCCTCGGCTCTGAGCCTCGCCGCGTGAGGTCACCGTACCTCCGGACTCATAGCCGTTTGTTCCATCTTGATGGGCCAGGCTGCCCCACCCGGGCTGCCGTCGGGGTCGGCGGGGAGCCCAGGCTGCGAGCTCAGGGTCACCTCGGCCTTGCGTCCAGATCCCTGTCGGACGCCGTCGTCTGGGACTCTGTGAGCGGGCCGCTTGCGGGACCCGGATGGGGTGGGGCCTGCGGTCACGGCGGCCGCTTGGTCGCGCAGCAGCCGCACCAGGAAGCCGATGTACTTCATGGCTAGGCGGAGCACCTCATTCTTGCTCAGCTTCCGGTCGGGCGGGTGTGTTGGCAGCAGCTTCCTGAGCTCCGCGAAGGCACCGTTAACGTTCTGCTGCCGCCAGCGTTCGCGGCTGTTGGTGAACACGCGCCGGGCCACCTTCTGGGGCTGGTGCCCTGTGGACAGGATTCAAAGTTGGCGCTGAAGCCCAGAGGGCACCCCTCCTGCTCTCATTTCAAGAATGTTGAACCCTCGTGGGGATTTAAGCTCAAGCAGTGGGCCGGGGTTTTCTCCACCGAAGGGATCCACGTGTAGTTACCCCTTTTCCAAGAGTGCTTAGACAAGGATCATCACAGGCCCAAGGCTGGGGACAGCAGGGGCCCGCTGTACCTGTGACTGGAGGCACCTTTATGTCAATGGCTGGAATTCCCTAGAGAAAGGTTCTATTGCTAACTTCTGGGGAACTGTCCCTGTGGCCCCTGATTTCTGAGTTTATCTTGTGTGCCTGGGTGTGCTCATCATCAAGAAAGATCCTCTTGTTGTGACTTTGGTTCTATCAGCGTCTTGTGTGGCTGTTTGACTTGTATATCTGATGGCTGTGGTTGTGTGTGACACTGCCATGTGGTTGTGGATGTGTGGCTGTATCGTGAGTGGTTTTGGCCCTGTGGCTCTCATGTGACTTTGGTGTGATGCCTGTCTCCTTAATGGCTGTGCATTCCAGTGGAGCTATCATTTTGTGGCTCCCATGCTCTGTTGTGGCATGCTTATTTTACCATGTCTCTTTGTGGTGATGAGGCTTGGTTTGTTGGGTGGTGGTGGTTTTGTGGAGCCTGGCAAGGAGGACTGTGATTTTGCACATGGGTTATAACATGTGTGGGTTGTCCTCTGTGTGTGCTGGAAGCACCTCTCCTGTGGATGAGTATGGGACAGACATGAGTCCATGCAGAGATGGCTAGTCCTTCACTGCACCCACACTCACCTTCAGCCAGGTCCAGCTCACAGTGGCTTGGTCTCCTCTTCAGCCGGCTGCTAGGGAAGATGCTGAAAGGTCCTGCCGGCCCAATGTAGACACTGTAAGGGGTTGTGAGTCACTAATGCCTTATAGGCAAGGACCCTGGCCCCTAATTCCCCCTATCCCCACCCCAGCTCTCCACTGACCTGTTGAGGAAGGGGTGAGGGTGGTAATGCAGGGCCAAAGCAGGTGGGGTGGGTCCTAAGGCAGAAAGTTGCAGCAAGGGGGGCCGTAGGGTGCTCAGCTCTGTGGTGGGTATGGCTGTCCCTGGGGGCCTTGTATGTCCTAGGCTGATCACTGGCACCCCAGGGGGCAACCTGGGGGGTGATGAGCTTTGGTGGCCCACTTCCTCTGCCTGAGGTGATGCAGGCTTAGGTGGCAAGGTGGGCACCAGGCTGGGGGCACACAGCATCTCTGCCTTCTCAGTCATGGTGGGGCCCACCTCTGTTTGGGCCTGGGGTGGGCACATGGACCCCGAGGTAGGGGTGCTCACCTGTGGGAAGGAAGGAAACGAGTGGGGAGGTGGACCAGGTGCCACCTTAGCCCAAAAGAGCCCTCAGATGAGGGGGAGGAGGAAAGGGGGGTGTTTGGTGGGTAAAGGCAGATGGGAGTGGGTCTGGAAGCTGCCAGGGGTCAGCAATTGAGGTCATTGCATCAGTAGCAGGGTCCTACACAAGACAAGGAGGTACCCACTGAGGTGCTAGGTAGCACTGAGCCTGGTAGTGCTATCTCCAAACTATCTGTGGCCTCTAAGGGGCTCTGTTGCCTCTGAGCAAATTTCCCTTCTTTCAGAATTCCCTTTCACCTGCAGCCTGGAGAGGGGACAAGGCAGGAAGCCCCTGACTGATCCTGGAATGCCCTGAAACCCCAAGATTGGCCCTGTAACCTTCACATCTGAAGATATGATCTTGAGAGCCCTCATTGTGACTCTTGACACCATGTGACCTTGGAATCCCTCCAAGATTATCTCTGACCCTTCACTGACCCCTTCCCCCAGGCTGACCCTCTGCTCCTTCTTCCCATTGCTTCCACATCTGACCCTGGAGATTCTCAAAAATGGCTCTAGTGACCCCCACCCCTGCTAAAAATGTTCCCTTTACTAATTCTGTGACCCTTCTATTGATACAATAACCTCAAATGCTGACCTTAGGATCCCCAGTGACTCCACTGCCCAGTCCAATCCAGTTCCAGTTATGCCCCAATCCTTCCTCTGGTTCTGGGATCCCCACCCACACCAGCACCCACACTTCTGCAGTCTGCTTTGACATCCTGTTCACTCTTGGCTCTAGAGCCTGGGTGTGAGATTCCTGGCCCTCTGCCCTGTCTTCCTCAGGTAGGCCCCCGGGAGGCTGGCCTGGCCCCTCAGTTAGTGGTTCCCTACTGCTGAATGAATGAATGAACAAAATAATGCAGTCCCCCCACACCCATACTCTACCTTCCTTGAAACAGGGCACCTTCAGGTCTTCTCCCTTCTTACTCCAGCACTGTTCCTACAGCCTGGTGAGTGTGCTGGCTCTGTCTTGCCAGAGCTGGCAGTCTGGATCAGGATGCAGGTTCCAGTGTCAGGCCAGCCTTTACTGTCCTGCTCTGTGCTCCAGGCCGCCCTGTTCCGCCCAGTCTTGGGCAGTGCCTCCTAGACGCTGGGGCAGGGGCAGCCTAGGGGGCAGCTAGAGGGCTGGGGCAGGGGCAGCCACCCGTGGCAGTGTAGGTCCCCTTAGGGAAAGTGAGCGGCTCCCAGGCCGCCCACCCTCTCCCCGACCCGGCAGCCCAGTTTCCTGCTTCTCACCCCTCTCCGGGTTCAGCGGCCAGAGGATGCTGGGCCTGGGCAGATAAGGGCCTGGCCGCCTGGCTGCGCCTGATAAGGAGCCGGGCTGACCCCGGAGGAAGCCGGTGGGCGGGGATCTCCCAGTACCAGCCTCTGGGTCCCGCCCCCAGCGGGCTGAGGTGGGCTGGACTTGAGCTGTCACCCCTCAGATCCTCACCTTTCCCTCTAGTTGGCTGGAGGGGCCCAGGTCCATTGGAGACCCTGGCCTCAGCAGGCAACTAGGAGGTGGAGGGAGTATCCAGATGCATGCAGGGGGTAAACTGATGGAGGAAAGCTGCAGCCTCTGGGTCAGCCCTCTGGCTTAGAACATCCTCTGCTCCAACATCAGTGCTGATGGTGAGGGAGGGCCCTTTCCACCCCACTCGGGCCTCGTGACCCAGGGGCCACCTCCTTCTCCTTACTCTGCCTGGTTCCTCTTTTTACAGAGCCCCTCCTGGCCTTTATATCACCCCCATCTGGGAGTGGGGCACCTGAGAGGGGACAGTTCTAACAGTCTTTTCTTGGATCCCCAGCCTGGGCAGGTGTCCCGGGCCCTCAGTGTACTACCCACAACACACATCCAGGCCCAAGAGAGGGAGACGAAGTGCTACAGCTGGGGAGTGGTGGGGTGGAGCAGGATTTCCTAGGGTGCCAGGACTGGTGTGACTTTCCATTAGATGACCCAAAGGTTCCCCACATTTCTGAGCCTCTTGGCCACAAAATCACATAGCTGCAACCATGTGGTCCCTGGCTCTCACCCCACAGCAACTGCATGATGAAATTCAAGATTCCCCATAAACTTCAGAAAGGGACACAGCTGGCTAGGTAGCAGTAGCCACACGACTGCCACCCACCTGGGGCAGTCATACTTTGCCCTCTGTGTATCTGGGCCCCCAGGCAAGCACCTAGCACTGACATTACCACTACCCTGCCAGGAACGGGGCAAAGCCCAGGACTCCACAATCAACAGATCCACTGCTTTTCTCCAGGAAACCAGTTTTAAGCATGTGAGTTAACCCTACAAGACAGGGTCTAAGATTTGACTCGGTTCATAAGTGGGGACAAAGGGTGCAAGAGGTGATCCTACACCAGGACTCTCCTTTAACGTTACATTACTAACCTCCTCACTGGGGGAGGGATGAGATGCAGCTCCTCCTCAGCACTGGGTATCTGGGCAGGAGCCTACCCCATCCCTCTGTGCGCATTCCCCCTCAGCCGCAGGGCAGGAAGCACCTGGTCTGAGGCGGATGCACGGGGCGCCTAGTTCCGGTCTGGCTTCCGCCACTGTGGCCCCAGGGGAGCTGGGCCAAAGAAACCAGGCGGCGAGGACTGACACGTAGGGGCTCCGGGGCTGGAGCTACCCCTGTGCACACGCCCACTTTAGATGGGGGCGGGAACAGAAGCCCCGCCGGTGCGAGTGCAGGCTGCCGCCCCGTGGCCACTGCAGGAACTGCAGGCACTGGCTCCACCGTGGGTGGGGCGTACCCAGTGACCCCTGCTGCAAAGGGCAGCTCCATCCCTCCGTACACACAGATTGCCCCAGACAGGCACATGCACCTAGTTCCCCAGGGAAGTTAAAAATCGAGGGACAGAGAAACAACAAACCCCAGTCATAACAGCTGGCTCAGTGGGCAGAGCCCCTCAGCCACATGGACAGGCTGCTTCCCCATACAGACGAATGACAATCAGGGGAAGGTGATATCTCTTTATTGGTTCAGTCTATTCTGGGCCTGTGGCAGCCCCAGGCTCAAGGGTTCTGACTGAAGATCTCTTGGCAGTCAGGGAGTGCCCCGTCAGCAGAGGCCCTGGGTGTTGGGGGGCTGTGGGAATAGCAGCACTGGTCTCCATGCTGACAAGTGCCCTGGTGGGAAGACAGTGGGTATGTCCGCACCTGGAGGTGAAAGCCCCCACCACTTCCTTTCTTTGATGCAGGGCTCACTTCCAAACACCTGCCTGGCTCTAGTTTCCCCCAGCTTATTCCCTGTTGCCCAGAAGAGGACCCACATGTTCCACAGTGGGAGAAAGGGAGGAAGTGCCTTACCTCCTTGAACCTCTTGCAAGTAAATGTCTTGAGCCGGGCAGCCCTCTGGGCTGGGTCCTCAGCCAGCTCTTTCCGCTTATTCTGCAGTAGCTTGCGTCTCTCCTCTATAGTTCCACTGGCCACCTTGCCCCTGTGCAAGGGGATGGGTAGCTGGCACCCACCTGGCCTATGCCCTCCCTTGCTCTGGCCAAGCCCCAGTCACACAACACTGCCACTTACCCAGGCCGGGCTCGGGGCCGAGGGCCCCAGTTAGCCTCTGGGTTGGCCTGGAAGCGCTTGAGTCCTCGCTGGCGGGAGCTGGGATTGGCATCTTCCCGGACGGTGAAGTTGGCCTGCAGCCTGGGCAAGTGGGGTGAGAGGTGGAGGGCTGGCAGCCACCAGCTATGAGGCAGGTATGCATGGACCACCCATCTTGTAGCACAAGGTATTTGCCCATGTTGGGATTCTCTCATTCATGTAATAAACATTTTAATTTACAACGGTGTGCCTACATTGTTCTCAGTGATGGGAATAATGAGCAAAATGGATAGAAAGTTGCTCCTGGGGCTGGGCTCAAGGGCTTATACCTATAATCTCAGCACTCTGGGAGGCAGAGACAGAGAGGATTGCTTGAGGCCAGGAGTTCAAGATCAGCCTGAGCAATACAGCGAGACCCACCTCTACAAACACTTCTAAAAAAATTAAGCCAGATGTAGGGGTGCATGCCTGAAGTTCCAGCTACCCAGGAGGTGAGGCAGGAGGATCCCCTGAACCCAGAAGTTTGAAGTTGCAGTGAACTATGATGATGCAACCACACTCTAGCCTGAGTGATAGAGCAAGACTCTGTATCCAGAAAAAAAAAAACACCCCCCAAAACCTGCCCCTGGTAATGTTGACTTTCGAATTGAGAAGATATGCAATAGAATAAATTGGAAATAAGTACATTACACTGTGTATCAGGGTAGGAGATAAGCATTTTGATAGAGGAAACAGGGAGATGGAGTGAAGGTTCAATGCTAAGATAGAAGGCTTCTCTGAGGAGACAATAACTGGAGATGAGGGAAGAGCCATGGGGGGACCTGGGGATAGGAGTTCCAGGGAAAGGGAGTAGCACATGCAAAGGCCCTGAGGTGGGAATATGCCTAGTAAATCTATGTGCAATGAGAAGGTAGGGCGGGCTTGGTGCCTGTGGCTCAACTGGCTAAGGTGCCAGCCACATACAGCTAAGGTGGCGGGTTCGAATCCAGCCCAGGCCTGCCAAACAACAATGACGGCTGCAACCAAAAAATAGCCGGGCATTGTGGCGGGCGCCTGTGGTCCCAGCTACTTGGGAGGCAGAGGCAGGAGACTCGCTTGAGCCCTGGAGTTGGAGGTTGCTGTGAACTGTGATGCCATGGCACTCTACCCAGGGGGACAGCTTGAGGCTCTGTCTCAAAAAAAAAAAAAAGAAAAAAAAAAGGTAGGGTGAAGCAGGGTGAGATGAGGGCAGGGATATGACAGCAAGCTGGTGGGTTATAGGTAGAACTCTGGCTTCTACTAAGTGAGCTGGGAGCCACAGAAGATCCTGACCAGAGGAGGGACATGCCCTGACTCAAGGTGTGCACAGGTACCCTTGCTGCTATGGGGTATCAGATGGTGAGGGGGGTGAAGGCAGAGTAGGAAAGGGAGACCAGGATGGGAAAAACTAAGCAGATTCCCACAGGACAGTGACTCATGCCTTTAATCCTAGCACTGTTGGAGGCCCAGGCAGGTAGAGCTCAAGATCAACCTGAGCAAAGAGCTAGATCCTGTCTCTAAAAAAATAGCGGGTATTGTAGTGGGTGCCGGTAGTCTCAGCTACTTGGGAGGCTAAGTTAAGATAATTGCTTGAGCCCAAAAGTGAGCTGTGAGCTATGATGCCCTGGCACTCTACTGAAGGCAATAAAGTGAGACTGTCTCTAAAAAAAAAAAAAAAAAAAGCAGATTCTGGTTCTCCCTTGAAAAATGAGGTATCTGCATGGGGAAGTATCTGTGTCATTTGCACACGTATGTGCTTGCTATACCTGCAGGCATCCCTGCTCCCCTTCTGCACAAACGTGCCTATACCTGGGCTTTACACTGAGGATGCGGAATGCTGGGCTGGTCTCTGACAGGCGCTCCCTCTTCACAGGACACTCCTTCTCCTGGGGGTAGAGGTCAGGGGTCAGTGCATGCTGGCCCCAGGGGGCCTCCAAGTGACTACCACCTGCCCTCCCACCCTTAGGCCATTAGCCTGGCCTCACCCAGCAGCGCATGATGTCCCAGAGAGCTGAAGCAGGGGCATCTGTCTTCACTGCATTCTTACAGGCATGGGAAAGAGAGACTCGGAAGCCAGCATGGAGGAGGGCTGACCTAGGGACCCACAAGGATCATGAGGTAGAGGCTGGATGCCAAGGCCCAGGCTCACACGTGTCTCATGAACTGTCGAGTTGCACTTCTCATGGTGACTACACACCAGTGATCATAATAGAATAACCCCCAGAAAGGACTCACAGTCTCTCTGATTTCTATTGTTTTTTTTTGTTGTTGTTATTTTGTTTTGTTTTGCAGTTTTTGGCCGGGGCTGGGTTTGAACCAACCACCTCTGGCATATGGGGCCTGTGTCCTACTCC